ACAGTTTCAACAAATAATACACTGCATATATTCTTCTTAGTGGTTAATTGCTGTACAAGATGCGGACTTGTGATCCTATTTACAAACACCATTAGAACACATCATTCTATTCATTAAGAAAACGCAACTATATATTTATCCTAACCACTTTGAATACACAGATACAAAATGGATATTCATCGGTATACCCCATTTTTCCTAAGTTCCGTTATTGAATATTATAGGTGTTCATTACCATGTTTTGAAACATCTTTTCTGAGTGTCTTTAGGAAGTGTGGTAAAAAATACTATTGTTGCTGAGTGTCATCCAGTGGAAAGACAGGTTCTTAAAAAGTATTATGATGTATCATAATAAATAAATCTTATTTGCAAATCTGCCACTCACATTTCTGGCACTTCTTAAAAGTTAAATTGCCCATGAATGATAATCCTTAAAATTAACTGAAGGCATTGATGCAGTGATCACCATAGAAAGACATGAAAGAGGACTTTAGAATTGTTTCAGATAGTATCAAGATGTGTATTCAAAGCAAGGGGGAGTATTTTGAGGGTGATTCACTGAACTGTGACTTTAATTGTTTTTTTTTAAATTCAAACCTTCACTGTATTTTTCTATTATACCTAAAACACAGTGAAATTATTGATGTAAAATTCAAATACAGGCTTAAGTTGTATGTTTTTTTTAAAAAGATAGTCTTTTTTTGTCTGCCTTGCACTTTGAGTAAATAAATTTAAGATTATGATACACATACTAACTATTGTTACTCTCCATCACTTTGCTCACAATTTTGCTTTTTTTAAATCATAAAATAAAAAAGCAAGTTATTTTCTGTTGTAATGACAACACTCACTGTTCATTTGGTATATTTTTGGTAATTTACTCTGTTCCCCTTCAGCCTTTTGATTGGTGTATACACAGATATCCTTGTATATGTCAACTTCAAACTGTATTTCCTCATTGGCTACTATACAATAAGATGCATAGACATACTACGTGATGGAAAAGGAAAATTGACATCAATTAGCATAGTTATGTGCTACTTTATGAGATATATAACCATTTTCTTTTAATTTTTCAAACAACTTAGGTGCTCTGCAACTGAAAGAAGATACTATTGAAAGTTTACTGGCTGCAGCTTGTCTTCTGCAGCTGACACAAGTCATTGACATCTGCTCCAGCTTCCTCATAAAGCAGCTCCATCCTTCAAACTGTTTAGGAATTCGGTCATTTGGAGATGCTCAGGGATGCACAGAGCTCCTGAATATAGCACA